CTTAAATTTGGTAGGTCATTTGTATGAGGAATTCATATTTGTTCTAGATTTTCCAGATTTTTAAAGTGTAAGTTTCCAAAGTACTCCCTAATGATTCTCTGGGTGTTTGTTGTTGTTGTTGTAATTTGTATTAACCTTATTTTTCACACCTCTCACTTCATTAATTTGGATGTTCTCTTTATTTTTGTTATTTGATTAGTTACCTGTAAATCTTATATTTATTTTTCAAAGTACCAACTCTTGATTGATTCTATAAATTATTAGTCCCCATTTCATTAATTTCTTCCATGATCTTTATTATTTCTTGCCATCCTGGGTTAGGATTTGTTTTGTTTCTTTCATGACTCACTGATCCTTCAGAGAGTGTATTGTTCAGTCTCCATTTATTCCTGTAGTTTCTGCAGTCTTTCTCCCTACTTATTTCTGATTTTACTGTACTATAATTTAATAATATATTAGATTATTTTGACTGCTTTTTATTTGGTAAAGTTTGACTTTCAGCCTAGAATGTGGTCTCTTTACTTACAGAAAGTCCAATAGGCTGCTGGCAAAAGAAGGATATTGTTTCCTTTGGATGAAATATTTCATAGCTGTTAAGTCCATTTGGTCTATGGTATAGATTAGCTCTGGGGTTCCTTTCATTGATTTTAAATTGGAATGAATCTAGAAAGAAGAGTGAAATAATGAAACCAGCCACTATTATTGTATTAGCACCCATCTATCCTTTCCTCCATTAGTGTTTGCTTTATAAAACTAGGAGTCACATTGTTTAGTGCATATATATTTATAATTGCTTAGTATTCTCAATGGATTGTTTCCTTTAGTAAAGCACAGTCCCATTCTCTGTCTCTTCTGACGCATTTCAATTTGAAGTCCCTTTATCAGCCATCAGAGTGCTATGCAAGGTGATTCTAGTTTCTGTTCACTTGGTAGATTACTTTTCCATCTCTGTCAGCCTGTAAGTATCTTCCAATGAGGTGTGTTTCTCAGAGACAGCAGAAGTTTGGATCTAACTTTTTATTTAATCCAGTCAGTCTATGCGTCTTTATTGGTGAACTGAAGCCACTTTACATTTTGTGTTGTAATATAGAGATATTTACTAATTTTTGTAATTTGTTGACTGCTTTTCTGGTTGGCTGGATTATTGTTTCTTATATTCTCTTCTATCAGTATCAAAGGTTTGCTGTGTAAGACATGATGGATTCCCTCATAGCTCTCCTTCATTCCATCATTCTCCTCCTGAAATCTGTTCTATGATGTCCTCCATGATGAATATTGGCTCTCTCAATCCTTTGTGTATAAAACTCCTTTAAGTGCCTTTGGCAGTGCTGACTTAGTGGCCACAAACTGCTTTATTTGTACTTGTCTTGAAATGTCTTAATTGTTTTAAATAGCACTGATGTATATAGCAGTCTTGGTTGTTGTGATGGCTTAAAGAAAAATGGCCCCAAAAGGGAGTGGCACTAATGGGAAGTATGGCCTTGTTGGAGGAAGTGTGTCACTGTGGGGGTGGTCTTTGAAATCTCCTATGCTCAAGCTACACCCAATGAGACAGACCATTTCCTGTTGCCTGCAAGATGTAAGACTCTCAGCTACTTCTCCAACACCATATCTGCCTGCATACCACCATGTCAAATCATGTTAATTATGGACTAAACCTCTGAAAATGTAAGCCACTCAATTAACAGTTTTCCTATATAAGTGTTGCTGTGGTCATGGTGTCTCTTTAAAGCAATAGAAACCCTAACTAAGACAGTTGGTAAGTATTTTTAAAGATTGAAATGTATCATAGAGATATCTGATGTTTGGCCTCTGTGGTGTCATCCTCTTAAAGCTGTTGGTGTTGTGACTTTGTTTTGTATTTTTGACATCTTGATTATAATATGCTGTGAAGATATTCTCTAGTCATGTCTACTTAGAATTCTAAATGCTTCTTGTATTCAAATGTGTTTTTCTTTCTAGTTTTGAAATTTTTTCCTGTTGTCATTTCTTTGACAATTCTCTATGCATCTTTCTATTCTTTGTATTCTTATTTTTTTCTGAATTTCAACTTCATTTATTATCATTGTGGGATGTGCAGTGTCATCACACACAGGCCACTGAATGCATGTGGAGGTTAGGGGACAATTTCATAGAGTTTCTTCCCTCCATCCTCCTTTAAGTGGGTTCTGGCCATCTATCAAACCCACAACAGCAGGCTTGTACAGGAAGAACCCTTACCTGCTGAGCATCTCATTGGTCTGGTTTTGTCTCTGTTTGTGTCACTAAATGCCATGGTCATTCTATCCCATTCCCATTTGATACTTTTCTAATTGGTACAGTGTTTCACCAGCCTGTCTTGATACTCTTTCTGCTTGGTCAGTTCTATCGATGTTTCCCATTGTGTTCTTTACTTGATTCATTGATTATTTTTTTTCACTTTCAAACTCTCTTTTTTAAAATCTCAACTTTCTTGCTGATGTTTCCTTCCATGTTGCTGACTTTTTCTTCAACCATATGGCTTATTTCTTATCCATATTTTGATACTCTCTTCTCTGTCACTGACTTTCTTCTCTAGATCTGAATTGAATTCATCCACTTTGAATTTCACCCTCTCTCAGGTGATTGATCATTTTTACATAGAATCTTGGAAACTCCATCTGAAATCTTCCTTACTTCAGCATCTTTGATTTTAGGAGTTGAGGAGGTAAGAACTTTTGCAGGAGTCATGTTACTGTGCCTTTTCTAGTTTCCTGCACTTTTGGCTCACAGGATGTGTATTGTTTGACTAGTAAATGCTTCTGGATTTGGGAAGTGGGCACATAGTTCTTACTGAGCAGCCTACTCTTGGGAGCTCAATTCTCAATAACACTCAGCTAGGAGGAGATAAACTCCTGTGTCAGCAATATCAACCAACAAGACATGGAAATACACTTGCAGTGATGTATTAGTATGTGTATGTAGGTGCATGCGTGCATGCATGTGCATGCATGTGTGTGTGTGTGTGTGTGTGTGTATGTTGTCACCCTGACAGGATCAAAAATTACCTCAGAGACAAATCCCTATGTTTATCTGTGAGAGATTTTCTAGAGTAGGTTAATGGAGGTGGGAAAAACTACCCTGACTGCTGGACTGAATAAAATGGAGAACGTGAGTTTAGTGACTGCATTCTTCACTCTCTGCCTAGTGACTGTGGATGCAATGTGAGCCGCTGCGTCCAGCTTCCTCCTTCATGCCTGCCTTGCCACAGTGGACTGTGTTCTCAAACACAGTGTTCCCTTTCTTAAGTTGCTTTTGTCAAGTATTTGCCCAGCAAGGAGACAGCAACTATATGACACTTAAAATCAATTGCAATTCACTAATATGCACCAAATGACCACAGAACTCCTGTAGCAGGTACTGTGACGTTAGAAATTAGTTAAGGGTGGGACTAGTGAATGACCGAGATCCAGGAAGGAGGAGAGAAAAGCAGGATCCGGGGTGGGAAGCAAGGTTAAGCATGAAAGCAGAGAGACAATGGAGAATGGTAAAGAACATTATAGAGGGGAAGGGAAAAGAAAATTGTGTAGGAAGTGTGATCTGAACAAGAATGGCCCTCAGAGACTCATAGGTTTGAAGATTTGCTCCCTCCTTGGTGGAACTGTTTGGGAACACTTAGCAGGGTTAGTAGGCGTGGCCTTGCTCTGGGTGACATTTTAGCTGAAGGGTGTCGCCCACGTATTGTTGGGAGTCTAGGAAGTAGCAAGATATGGACAGGCAAATGACCTGCCTTTGTCCTTCCGAGGCTTCCTGAGTAGCAGTTTCTCTGCTGGGAAACAGCTGTTGTGTTCAGAATTCTCAGACACTTCAGCAGTGAATGACAACTATGTGACTCCAGAATTTGACCCCATTCTGACCTCAGGCTCGAAGCCATCAAACTTCAGGGCCTTCTGAGTTGAGGACCTGTGTCCTGGGACTCCAAGGGCAGGGCTGTCTCTCCTCCTATACTTACTTCCCAGCCTGAGCTCGGCTCCTGCTGCCTATACTTTCCACTCTCCACCCCTGGGCCTTCCCTCCCCCAGAGGCTGTGACAGGCCCCAAAGAGTGTTTCTAACCTGTGGGTGTTCCCTAATCTCAGGCCCTCAGGGAAGCTCAGTTGTTAACAATAGAAGGGCCCAGCTGCTGCTTGACAAAATGGAATCTCTCCTCCACTGACTCTGCTCCAAGGAATCACTGTCTCGCCAATATGTGCAGCTCGATTTGAGGCTGTGGGAGCCGTGGGCTTGTTTTGAGGGCAGGCCTGCCTGTCTGCTCTAGGCCTTCTGCATTCCCTCCCCCACCAGGGATCGACGCCAATGCAGCTGTACTGTGCTCTGCCTGTCTCTCAGTGTCATGGTGTGGTTTCCGTTCCCCCCCCGATCTTTCCCAGTACCCTTCACTTCCTTCAGGAATTTCTGAAGCTTTTATCTATGTTTCTCTCATTGGGATAAAGTCTGTTTTGGTTTTTCTTTGTGTGAACATCTCTTTCACAGTCCCTCAGAGGGGAGGGGTCTTTACTGACTCCCCGCCTTCTGTCCTCCACACTCCTGTGCTGTTCAGCCCCGAGTCTCCAGGACTGTTTCTGCAGTGGGGAGGCGTCCTCCCTCCTTCCTGGGCAGGGACTCCACGCGGTTCTCAGCGGTGAGGATGGTGAGGGCAGGTCTGTGCTCACTGGGCCTCTGGCCTCTCCTCTCAGAGTTACCTGGCACCTCTGGCCCCTGAGTTCTCTTCTGGGATGCAGCTCTGCTTGCTGTCTGTTGGCCTGCTTCTCCTACTTGAGCCGTTGGGTTCCAGATTCCGGGGACCTGCCAACACAGTTGCCACTTGACATTTGCTTTCCTTCTTGAAATTCTTTCTTGTCGTTTTCCTGTGACAGATTCGATGTTTTGTGCTATACTTTTGTCCCTTTCGTGTGGTATTATCGAGGTTCTAGAAAGAATACACATAGCATCCCCTCTTCCGGCTCTGAGTCAGCACACCCCTTTTCTGCTTTCTCTTTGCAGTAACAGAGGGCAGCCTAGTGTCAATTGAAGAGCCACAGGAACGTGTCAGGTAAGGTTTGCTTGATCCCTGTCTCCGTCGGTTTTCCAAACCAAACTCCTGTTAAATGATACTGACTTATGGTTTGTAATGAAAACATTCAAAAAAATCTATATTTATGTTATGTCTGAGTACGTGGGTATCTGTGGAGAACAAAAGAGAGCATTGGTTCCTGGAAGTTATAGTCTCCTGTGACTGTCAGCCACCTGATGAGGCTTCTGGGAAGTGAACTCTGATTCCCCGGAAGAGCAGTAATTGCTCTTAACTGCTGAGTCATCTCTCCAGCCCTACCCTTTACGACATTTAACTTAGAAAGGGAGGTATTTGTTTCTCTTATAATAAATATTTTTAGGAAGAAGATGGGAAATTATTGAGTTCTTTCTATTGAATCTACCTTTGTCTATAATGAATGGATCTATTTAATTTGTATTTTTTATGGAAAGAAGTGTTCCATGGAATAAGGATAAGCCATTGTAGATCACAAAACCATGAGCATTGTCAGAGAAGATACAGTTAACCTTATCCTAGAAAACTGAATCAGGGCCAAAGCCGTTGTATCTTTTCTTTCTTTCTTTCTTTTACATTTTATATTTTTATTTTTAATGGGGGTGGTGTACGTGAGCAGTGCCCAGAGAGGCCAGAAGAGGATGTCGGATCCCTCCAATGAGAAATTCCAGGGGATTGTGAGCTTTGCAGTCATTTCATGTTGGGAGTCAAACTGGTCCTCTAGAAGAGCAGCAAATCCCCTTGAGCTCTGAGCCATCTCTCCAGCCTGGCAATGTAGCATTACTCTGGCTTTGAGCATCTGAGTAAGGCACAGTCTATAGTCTCCCAGACTGTAAATACTTGATAAAAGTATTCCAGCCTTTGCTTTCCTGAGCTCTAAACTTAAAGCCAATTAGCTAGTGTTGAAGTCATGCTTGATCTAGCCCAGGTTCCCCTGACTGCCATCATAAAAGGTAAGCAAACTTTGGTCACTTAAGTGACTTCTGTTTATGACACAGTCCTGAAAATGTGCAGAAAGATGGTGTTCAGTCCAGTGAATGGTCCCCTTGGCTGGGACTCAGTGAAGGCACTGCTGTCTACTCAACCTGTGGAGGATCCTCATCATCTAACAACACCAGACACGTGTTGTCTTATTATCTATGAAATAAGGGTATCCCTGGAACAGCAAATGTTCTTGCTGCCTGGCGTTTAACTGTTCGCAGTATCCTGCACACAGTGCTGGCACTAAACTCAGGTCTGGTTTGGTTTCAGCTGTTTCTCTGAACCTAGACAAGGATAAATGACACCAAATCAGGTCCAGTTTATCAGGCTATCTTTGTGCAACCCTGAATTCTCTAGAGAAGCTAGAGAGTCAGGAATTCAGAAACACTCCATGGTTCTGGTAAATATCATGAGGAGACTGGCTGTGTTGGGCTCCCATGTTTGCCCCATATGCTTGTTCTGGTGTACAGCTCAACTGCGTCTTCTCTCTTTGGTTTGGGTCACTCATTCTTTGTTTATTGGTATTTGTGTTTATGTGTTCATGTGGTGTGTGTGTGTGTGTGTGTGAGAGAGAGAGAGAGAGAGAGAGAGAGAGAGAGAGAGAGAGAGAGAGAGAGAGAGAGAGAGAGAGAGAGAGGAGAGAGGAGAGAGAGGAGAGGAAGGGTTTTTCAGGCCAATAGTTAGAGGGTAGGGAAGTCATGGTGGTAGCTGGTCGCATTGTGGTCAAGAAGAAGAGACATGTTGCTGCTTGGCTCTCCTTTTCCTTTTAAAAAATGTTTTGAGACATGAGGCTAGAGAGTTAGCTCAACGGTTTAGAGCCCTTGTTGGCTTGCAGAGGACCTGGGTACAATTCCCAGCACCCACACGGTGTCTCTCAGTTATCCCTAACTCCAGTTCCAGGGGATACAATGCTTTCATCTGACTCCTGGAGACACCAGGCACACATATGGTACGCATACATGAATGCAGGCAAAACAGTTACAGTCATAAAATATAAATAAATCTAAAGACAAGTAATCTGAAACAGAACAATTATGACAACATACTATAATAAAGCGCCATTGAATGAGTATAGTGTCTCTGTGTCTTATACTATTTTATTGCCCTGCACTTACTCTTCCTGCTATGATGTGAGTTGACAGATGCCTTCATGAAAAGATGAAGTGTCATGAGTGATGCAGGCATTGTAAGATAGATTATACACTGTGGCAGTCCATCTGAGAGTCTTAATGGCTGTTGGGTGACTGTTGGGCATGGAGTATGTTGAGCGTGGATACTCTGGATAAGGGTTTAAGTCTCCTTCCAGGTGACAGAGCAAAATGCCACAAGATTCACCCTGCTGCTTAAACTGTGAGCAATTTAAAACTTAGGGGAAAAATTCTTTCTGGAATTTTCCATCAAGGGGAAAAGGCAGGCTCACTGCCTGGAAGAAGAAAATAATGGTGATGCTGTCTTATGAAAGCAACATGCAGTTCGAACACCAGCTGGTTGGAAACGTCTCCTACACCACCAGCTAGTTCTTAGCGTCATGGTTAAGACTAGAAGGTCTGGAATTAGCAGGGCGAACTCTCTGGCTCTGTTACTTATTGGCTGTGTGATGGGGTTAGCTATGTAACCTTTCCACACTTGTTTCCTCTTCGCAAAAAGAGAAAGAACTTTTCTCATGGGGTTGTCATGAGTATTCAGTGAAATCATGCAAGGAAAGAGCCAAGTTTAGCGCCTCGTCAGCACTCAGAGTCACTGGCCTCCTCGACTGCCTTCCCAAAGTATCTCGTCATTTCTCACAGCTCTATAGACAGCCTCCTAGCTGCCTTACTATCTTCTAGTCTTTATGCCAGAGTTAGGGCAATGAATGCATCTGTGGGAAGTGTTATCTGTCATCTAATTCCACAGGATGAAGTCTCAACACTTTTAAACTTAACTTGAGGCTCTCCATCAGCTGGACATGCTCTTCCTTCTTCCGGTCTCTCATTTCTCCAAAACCCCACCATCTCTTGGGATTTCCTGTAAATCTTGAATATCCTGTAATATTGTACTTCTGTTTCTGTGCAAATTTTTCTAGTTAGAGAACCCCCTTTCTCCTCATTCCATACTCTTATTCATCAAAGTCGGGGTACAGTCAGATAATTCTAAATGAAGTCTGCCACAGGAAACACCTGGGGTGTCATCTCAGTACCTCTCATTCTCTTCTCCCACCATGTAGAGAGCCAGCTCTAAATGAGAGCAGGATTGACAGCCCAGGCTGTCGGACCACAGCACTTATTTCAGGGATAGGATCAGGAATTACAAAGATTAAACCAGGACTGGGGAGATGGCTCTCTAGGTAAGGACATTTGCTACACATGAGGACCAGAGTTCCATTCCCAAAACCATGTAAAAGCTGGACTGACTGTTTGCACCTGCAGTCCCAACATGATTGCAAATGTAAGACAGTAAGATAGCTAGGGCTTGCTGGCCAGCCAGCCTAGCCAAAAAGGGGCAAGTTCTAGGTTCAGTAAGGGACCCTGTCTTGAGTTAACAAGACAGAGAGGGATAGAGCAATCCTTCCAATGTTCAATCCACTCAGTGGTTTCCCTTGGCCACCACATGAGTGCACATGGCTACATGTGGGCACATGCACACATCAATGTGTGCACTCATGCATACACATACAGGATTGAATTAGGGTGAGGCTCATTGCAACATTCTAGACAGCATATGTTGGTATCTTAGGTCAGCCCCTTTGTTATCTTTACTGCTTTGTTGCTGTCATCCTTTTACAATCCCAGGCAAGTGTTAGAAGGGGGAAACTCAACCAATTCTTAAGTAGGATTAAATACATTGAGAACAATCAATATATACGTAGTAATATAGCATCATTTAACTTTTATCTCAGAAATATTTTGTGGATTTCAGTATAGGTGTCTTACATATCTTTTGTTACATTGTGATACTATTACATTGACATGTAAGCATCTTCTTGCTGGTGACACACCTCTAGAACCTCAGCATTGGGGACACTGAGATAAGAAGCTGACGAGTTGTCTCAAACACCTTTATTTTTCCTGTTTGGAAACACACACACACACACACACACACACACACAGTTTATTTAAAATATTCCTTTGTCCCTAGGATCTTTGCTATATTCACTTACCAGTTTTTAAGCTTTCTGTACTAAATTGGATTTAACTAAGGACATAATCATGTCATCTGGGAAAAAAATTTGTAGTAGTCTGCCCCTTACCCATAGTTTTACTCTCTGAGGTTTTAGTTACCTGTGATTAGTCATGGTACATGCTTGGAATGATACCCAGGTCCTCTGAAAGAGCAACAAGAGCTCTAAACTGTTGAGCCATCTCCCTAGTCCCATGCCCCCAAAACATTTTTTTAAAAACAAGAGCCAGGCAGCAACAAGTATTGCTCTCTTCTTCTTGACCACAATGAGACCAGCTGCCACCATGACTTACATTGTGCTGGTGCAACTCAACAATAAATGATCACAGTTCAGTTAAACACCAGACTCACCCTTGCTGACTCCCTTTAAGCTGGTGTCTGTGCTTCCTCATCTCACACTGGTTTGGAGATTGTTATCCTTAACAGCTTCATCTGTCAATATCTTTTTTTTTTCATTAATAATTTCACCATCAGATCCCTAGAGATAATTTTGGTTCCTCTGTCATAGCTTCATGTGAGTTCACCTCTAAAATCACATTCATATTTTACTTCAATCCCACAGAATTCTTTCTATTAATAGAAAACTAGTCTTCCGGGCTTTGCAAAAGATTTGACCCCAACATTCCTTCATCTCTCACATGTCTGATAACCATTAGATCTTTCTTCAGTACTGGTTTGGTTTCGTCTGTGCCTGTTCCTAACCTTCGCTCCCAACCCTGTTAGCTCTCAGGTAGCTCACACCTCCACTGCTTCCTTTCCTAGGTGATCCTACATTTAGTCTTATGGAATTTTCCTGGTGTGAGACCCCCCCCCTGAGGAAACTGTTGCTCAAGTCCCAGCTTCTTCTTTACTTTCCTATTTAGGAACTACTGATGGCTCTCAGCTCTGATGGACCAAGGTAGTCAACTAATTCTAACCACTCTCTGCCTGCATTGAAGATCCTGTACCACCTGTTTGAACAGCCTTCAGCTGCTCTCAGTCTGAACCCTCCGCTGACGTCATCCTTGTCTTCCCTTCCTCCAAGATCCTCAGTGTATACATGCATGCACTCCATACCCCAGCCCGGAAGATGGCTGAAGCTGTTCCCTGAGTCTAGGATGCCTCCTTCCTTTCCACACACATACACCCCAAATGACTCCCTGATGAGTGTCAAACAAAAGTTTTATTACCTCCATCCAAATTCTTTCATTTATTGCCACTTCAAAAGACGTATTGTGAGTTCGAGACCAGCCTGGTCTACATAGTGAATTCCAGGTCATGTTATCCAAATGCTGAACCACGCAGCACCTTATTATGGGAATAGAGAAAGCTGTTCTCTTCACTCATTCAACAGAATAATCAGCTTTAGTGCCCAGTATAAATTTTATTTCCTCATTTTTCACTGTCACAGACAATATTCAGTATATTCCTGATATCGATGGGAGCCACGCATACATTTTTATGCCGTTTATCTCCTTATTAGCTCCATAGCCTATCTGAATAATAGTAAATATAATTATTATTTTAAGGAACTATTTCCTTTATAGAATTGGAAATGCAAACGTTTAAGATATTCTGCTTTGTGTATTCAAGCTAACCACAGTTACACCTTTTAGGGTAATATTTTTAATTATTCTGGAAGAAAGAAAAGCAATCCCCAGAGGGCTAACAGTTTGAAACGGAACAGGGCACCTCTGGGAAGGGAGAGGGTCATGGGTCATCCTCAAACAGACAAAAGACAATGGAGACGATTGTGTCTAAAGATGGTATATGTTTTTTCTTGAGACAGTGTGTTGACAGTTTCCTTCCTCTTGGGTCATTGTTGTCTGCTAAATGATCTGTGACAGCAAATTGATCTCAAGATTTCCATGCAGGAGACACAAGGCAGCCTTTCATTTTGTTGTCCTCTCTGCGAAACGCTAAAACATTTCAGGGGGAAATTCATGTTACCTTAACATATCATTTGGCCATGTGAAGCTTGGCAGCTGTGCTGGAAGCAATAATAGTAATGGTTAATTTATCTTCACCCAGTTTCAGAGTTCTACTTACGTGTGATTGGAAAAGTAATAGCACATTTGAAAAACGTTAGTCTTCTTTTTTTTTTTTGAAAAAATGTTAGTCTTAAAATTAGGTGTCGCAAACTACGAAATAAATGGATGCACTGATCCATTTAAATATTGCCCCATTAATTTCAAAACTGAGTCAAATATTTACCTTAAGGATCTTACAGTTGACCCATAAAAATTAATACTAATATATTTGTTTTGACTAAAAATGTGTTTCTTCTCCCAAAGAACTGAGAAATTAAATTGGAGAACAGACAGGGATATTACACCTGGTTTTCCAGCATCTACTTGCACTGGTCAGCTGGCGATATCACGTGGCTGAATGTTATCTCTGAGTAATGTTTTGTTTATAGAGCTATAAATCACTGGGTTCAACAAGTTCATGGTAAAAGTATGAGCAGACACAGTGACTCGGAAGTATTCTACAGTTGCCACTTACTGCTTTTCAATACTCTTCATTCTCCTGCTAGGGCATAATGGCACTACTAGAAAGGGGTTCAGGTGGGGGGGATGAGAAAAGAGGGGTGATTCCATGTGGCTAGATTCTGTGTAAAAATTAGTCTCCATTCTGATGCTTTTATTCTCCCTGTGAGTAGGAAATAAAAAGAATCATACCAAATGGAGCTGATATGACATTTAAGAAAATTTTACTGTAGAATTTAAAAAATTACAAATATGCTTCCCTTAAAGTTCCTTTTAAATACTGGCATTAAAGGCAGAGGTCTTAAAGCTATTTCTTTTTGCAGTATACATAAATGTGCTCGTAAGTGGATATTTCCAATTCATTATTGAAAAATGAACTACACTACACAGCTTGTCTTTTCTGTGATTTATACTTGTCAGTGGTGAAATTAATGTGTTTGATCCATCTATTAAATGTGCATTTGTTAAAGATATATGTCCAAAACCCAGCATGGTGGCACACACACATAATCCGAGCACACAGGGGCTGAAGCAGGAAGATTGTTAGTTTCAGCCTGGGACACACAGAGATCCAGACTATCAGGGACACACATATCTGGTCTCAAAAAGAATGAAAAAAAGAAAGAGAGAGAGAGAGAGAGGAAAGAAGTATCATAATTTTCAAATCAGTCTAGTTTGATATGATATTAGCTGAATTGTGTGCTGTAATAATTTGGCAAATTATATATGGTCTGACTTTTGTTTATATTTTCAGAGTAATTAAAACAATCTCGTTTAATGATTACTACAAGACATGGTCAGAGATTGCCACGTCAAAAACTACAGAACTCTCCAAAACTCCATGTAAGCTGATCTAGCCTTATTCTGTGTCCTTCTAATATCTATTGACCTGCTGGTTGTTCTCAGTTTGTCTTGCTTTCAAAGACTGGTTGACACGTGTCTGCTCTGCAAGAGTAATAAAGTATTCTGTTGACTCTCTATACTATACTGTTCACTCAACAACTGTTAATTTAGTTCATTTGTGTAGAGCCCTGACCTGAGTCTGTTCAAAAGCCAGCAGAAGGGAGAGCTGATGGAGCTCTTAATCTTATGAGGTTAACTTAACTGCCTTCACCCAAGAAAGAAGAGTTCACAGCAGGGTGGACCTTTCCATTTCAAAGGCAATTATCCCCTAAGCCAGAGTCTCTCTCCACCGTGGAGAGCAAATGCAGTCAGAAAATGTGAGAGTGGAGAGCTGTTCAGTTACACCAGTGTAAGGAAACATTGTCAGAGGACCACAAGGACAGAATATGAGAGCTGGGCAACCAGTTCCATTTAGCTGGACTTTTAAACTACATGTCTTTATTTGCCTCCAAGTAGGCTATCCCGTTAAGTGAAAATGTGCCTTTGCCCCAGCCATCCAGCCGAAGGAGTAGGGCATTGTGAAATTAGAAAGGGCCGCACATCCCAGTGTCTGCGATGATGCTTTGTAATGCTTCTCTTTCTTAGCTGTTACTGCCTATGTTCTCCCTGATGTGTGTGTGATACCCTGCATCCAGTTTTATTCTTTTTTCCTAAGTGCTCTTCTGCCTCTTTTCTCAGTAATGACCTCTTTTCCTACCCTTCTCCGGATCTCCCTGAAGGGCCCCTCCTACTGCCATGTTTTTATCAGTCAGTGATGTCAAAGCCACCTCTCTAGCCAGACTCTCTTCTGCCCCCACACGCACATTTGCAGACCTGCACCAAGGCTCACCAACAGGCATGCCATTTAAGTAGCCTGAACCTGGTCCACTTTGAGCTCCCAAAAGTGTCCTTTCTTCCTTCTGTGTCTTAGGCACTGGTAACTCACTATTTTTGCATTTTCTTCCACCTAAGAATCCTTAAAACAACTATAAGTCTTTTAATCTTTTTTTGTATTCCTGATTTATCTCTTGCCTCTACCCTGGTGGTCACTGCTTTAGTCTCATTGTACATCATCCCATAGTAGTTGTTTCCTAACTATAGCAAAAAGTTGTATTTAGTTTTGGGGCATAAGTTAAGGCAAAAGTACTACTACGCTTAACTAACACAAAACCAAGTAAGATAGATAATGTTTATGAAATTACATGTTCTTTCAGAAAAGATGGTTGTTGACTATTTTAAAATTATACATTATCATCCTCACTCACACACTAGTGGTTGAAAAAAATCATTCAAAGTGCATTATGATATGCATTATGTACACAGATTTTAGCAATGCTATTAGTTCAAAAGCTATTTCTAGCATTAGAGTTAGCGGGTGTTTAATTTCAAAGTTTGGTGGCCAGATGTACCTTAGCGAGTTGGTACATTTCAAGTACCTACCATGTATGGAGTATGGAGGGAGGCACACAGATGGATTTGGGGATAATAAGCATTTGTTGTTAAAACATGACGTTGAAAGATACTATAACTCCAGGAACTAAGAGGCAAATTCCTCCAAAAAAAAAGATTTATTTTTCTTTCAGGATGGCAATGTGTAAATACATAGGGGTCCTCAGAAACTTAACTCCTAGACAAAAGATACAATAATGTGCCAGAATTTGAGAGCATTTGGGAATAATTGTCTCTTAATAAAAAGCTGTTTTAAAATGGAAGAAAATTATGGCAGTTTCCCGATGGCGGTTCCTCCCTCGAAGATGTTTGACTCCAACTTGTTGAATTTTGTTGTTTCTACTTCAGTCAGTTACTAACCCAGTCTGTAACTCATCCTCTGTGAAAGCAAGAGCCCGGGCATACATATTTCTCTGCAGCCCAGAAATAGTTCTGGAACTTTGAATCTAACAGTGGATGGCAGATTTCACAATCCCACTGCCCTCCTTCCCCTGGAATCATTCTAAAACTGTTCCGAGAGACTGCCTTTCAAAACAACCAGAACCGAATTTTCAAAGTAAATGCAACCCTGACACATACTGTTGGCCATGTTGTCTTCTGATAGTTCAACTGGACAAGAGCCAACATTCTCTTTTTAATGGCCTAAGTTCCTTTCAGTAAAGAAGACACAGCTTTTATATTGTAGAATGCTTCTCCAGTGACTCAGAAATACATAGGAAGCCTCTTATAACTTCGTTTATGCATGTATGTTCTTATCACTGGTGAGGTTATTCATAATACATGCATATTTTAAGTGTTTTGTATTTTATGAGTGGGAAATAGTTGTATTTTGATTTGGATATTAACACTTTTTCTTATCTTTGAGTCACAAAGCTATGTCTCAATATCAATGCCATAATAGTCACAAGTGTATTCTTTCACAATAAGTATAGAGTATATCTGTATATATTATGCTTTTAACCACTCCAGTTCATCATTCCTTCAATTATTCAACCAATATTTATTTACTAAACACCTTAATATATGTAACCAATAACCATACATCTATATGTCTGAGGGACCAGACATTATTCTAACCCTCTTTTTTTTCAGATGAGAAATGAGACTAAGAGAAACCAGGTAATTTAGCTAAGGTCACCCACATAGAAGAAGATACCATATATTGATAAAGGAGGTAAATTCTGGAGCCAAATTTCCAGGGCTTATCTTGGCTATCATTTGCTGGCTGTGTGACATTGGCAAGTCTATTGCTGTCCTTGGCCTAGTTTGCCTTGTTTATAAAAATGAGAGTAGTCACAACACCATCATGTCATAGGTTAGAAGTGCCTAGATAGCAGCATTCAGTACATGTGCCCATTTGTAATCATTAGTGCTGTGGTTCAAAGCCTTGGATTAGACCTCTGGCCCTGCATTCCCCTCCTATGCTGCTTTCTGCCTTTATAGTATGACGGCATATTATCCCAGCATAGTGTGAGATTTACATTCAAATAATGAAGGATGAGTAGCATTTCTGAAACGCATGTCATTTCCATTCACAATCATAGGAAATCATACAGAGAAATACACCAGTGACCCCACTGTGCTCTGCCCATCTCTATAAAATGTCAAATACAGGGTTTGGCAGAGAGAAAAGCCATGCATATGGTTATAGGAACGGCTCTTTAACGGCAGAATGTGATCTCCATACGGAAATGCTTACGTTCCAGGAAAAGAATTCCTGAGAGCAGCACGCTGTGCAGCCTGAGCGGAGGCTCCCTGGTGCTTGTTTGCTGTCAGCAGGCAAACCAAACAGCCTCCGGCATCAGGGGGGTGCTTGCTTTCACCCCAGGAGACTTTCAGTCTTTGAGGCTTCCAAAGGCCCCTCCTTCCTCGCGAGAGGCAGTGTGCCTGCCTCCAGAGCTGTGCTGCACAGCCCCAGCTGCTCATTAGAGCCACCTGAGGAGCCTGTAAAAATTCCGACAGAAAGAGCACACCCAGACCAGTTCCATCAGGGTTGGCAGGAGGACTGGGTAGTGGGGGTTTTGAAAGCTCCCCAGGTGACCATAACGCACAGCCACAGGTGGGAATAGCATGATGTCAGAAGTTAGCAACGCCTTAGTCCTATGCTAGTTTTTGCAAAGCACAGGTAAGAAAGTGAGTGGCTTACCTAATTGAACACCATCTTTCATTCCTATTAATGAGCAAAGAATATTCTCCCTACTTTTAGATGCTCTGCGGTTGCATGAGATAATATTTACGTAAACAAAACACACTAGTGCAAACCGGTACCATGTTTTCTGGATGTGACAGTCCCTCCAGAGAAGATGGATGACTTTGAAGTAAACACAACTTGGATTCTCCTACATTTTTAGAGACCTCAACTCAGGCCAGGCTAGGATTCCTGGTTTCAATGCCAAAGATGAGACATAGTTGGAAAGTCTGTTAAAACTATTTTAGCATAGATTTAAGCAAGGGATTTAAGAGACAGGCACTCAGAAAGAAAGTCACACCTGAGTGGGTTATATGTTTCTCAAGAGAAAGTAAGAAAAATAAGGCTTGGGCTTCTCAAAGAAGAGTGATGACTGATTGTCTCAGTATTATCCATAGGTACCATTTTGGTGACTCTCAAGTTACATTTCAAAAGGTTGCTCTGAGATTCCTACCTGCTTTGTTCTCATTTGATAAGTGAGATTATAGAGTGGTTCTGGAGGTACCTTAGATGGAATTATAATCTGATAAAGGGAAACCAGAAGCCTCTAGGGTTGCACAAGGACTTTGGTACACATGTGTCCTTTTCCTGCAAATGGGGTTTCTGGTGAGATTCCTAGAAAATTACAGGTTTACAGCTGGGAAGGGAGAGAGGCCCTAAGCAGTTGTTAACCGTGCATTCTTGCTTTCCTGCTGCCAAGGGGCTTCAACTGGATTCCAAGGAGAGAAGTATCTCTCTCTTCTCATGCCCCCACTCCTAAATTTTCCCTGCTTCTTTCTATCCTGCCCCATTATGAAAAAAAATGAGCAGAGAGACAGAAGAGTTCTATCTCCCGCCCTGCTGCAAAAATAAACAAATCCCAGAATGGAAACAACACTGTAATTTCCAAGAGAAAGAATTATACTATGGAAGAGAAAAAAATTACATTACGAAAGCTGTGGAAGGGACCCTTTTCTGCCATGACATACAAAATTGTCCCACAAGCAAGAGATGTGAGGGAGAGATTTCACCCTCTAGAACTTAGGCCCCTAACTCCCCCTCTGTCCCTCTCCTGCCCTCATCCTTCATTGCTGTCCTCTAATCAGCATTGTTTCTTGAACATGTATGTGCTAACAGTTGACTGTGTGACTTGGAGACAGAAGATGCATTTTGTAAGTAAGCTCTCTAAGGAGTTTACGGGCAGGTGGCAGGAGACAGCGAAGTCAAAATAATAATAATAATAATAATAATAATAATGATAATGATAGAAGTAAAGTATGAGAAGTGTTGAAAGTCTGTAGGAAGAACTGTGATGTCTTCACCCGTGAGATGCAAGAAAACTGTGAAGCAAGAGTCAAGAGAACATGGATGGACGGCTTGGGAGAGGTGACCTGGTCCCTCTGGATTTGTAATATATAAGGTAGAGACTGTCTGCCACACAGATTCACATACACAATGCAGGAAAAGTTTTTCTTTTTTTCTAAGGAAAAATATGAATTTTCTTTAAATGGAAACTTGCAAAAGTCTTAATTTTGTCCATGCAAATGGAAGATTACTAATAAGAAGACACTGGAGAGGACTGAAGAGATGGCTCAGAGGTTAAGAGCACTGACTGCTCTTCCAGAGGTTCTGAGTTCAATTCCCAGCAACCACATGTTGGCTCACAACCATCTGTAATGAGATCTAGTGCCCTCTTCTGTTGTGCAGAGACCTGCAGACAGAACACTGGATACATAATAAATAAATAAATCTTTATTTTAAAAAAGGAAAAAGGAGAAGAAGAAGAAGAAGTGGAGGAGGAGGAAGAGGAGGAAAAAAAGGAGGAAGAGAAGGAAGAGGAGGAAGAAGGGGAAGAAGAAAGAGAAGAAGGAGGAGAAGGAGAAGATGATGACGACACTGGAATATTGCTAGTCTGTTTGTCTGGACTGGAACATTGCCAGTCTATTTGTCTGGTATAATGGCTCTCCTCCACACTACTCTGTGTACACACAGCCTAGAGTAATAATTCCAGTAATGTTACTTAGAATACTCACCTATAGGAAAGACACCGAAAATTCCAGAGAGCTGAGATTGGCTTCTTTAATGGGAAGGATGCTCTCCTCAAATGCCAGCCTGGAGTCAATTGAGGCTTGGAAGACAGTGTGGTTGCATGTGCTTGTGTGGATCTGAGGAAGAAAAAAGTTAGAGTGTATATAGGAACATTGCTGGTGCAAAATCATGTAATTTAACAGAAGGGAAAAACTTTTTTTAAATAAAAAGCAAATGACATTACATTACAAAGAAAAAGTAAAATCATTGGCCAGGTGTGGTGGGGCACACCTTTAATGTCAGTGCTCAGGATGCAGGGCAGGCAGATCTATTTGAGTTTGAGGCCAGCCTGGCCTACAGAACTAGTTCCAGGACAGTCAGGGCTACACAGAGAAGCCCTGTCAAAAGAAAAATTAAACCATTGATATGATAGAGATTCCAAATAACAATTAGACTAGTGGAAAGCATCTGGCCAGTTAGGTGGTTCAAGTACAAACTCAGAATAGGGGAGGGGAAGGGAGAAGGGAGGAGGAAGGGGAGAGGAAAAGGGAGGAGAGAGGGGAGGGGAGAGAGGAGAAGGAAGGAAGGGAAGGGAAATGGGAGGAGAGGGAAGGGGAGTAGTATGTGTGGATATGTGACATAAGTTAAGAATACAGAACAGTTTTCAGTACATTTTATGTGAATTTGATTGGCAGCATAAAGCTTGTGACTAAGCACAAACTTGTGAGCCAGTAAGGTAACATGATTTCAAAATATTCTAGTGAAGACATGAGCTAGGTTGACAGAAATGCAGCAAGCACACTTGCACCTGTACCAGTCAAACTAAATAAAAATCCTGATGTTTTGGGAGTGCTAGGAACAGAAGCACAGTGCTCTGCCCTGAACTGAATTTTCTGCTGTGGACATAAAGGGGTTTTTGTTTTGTTTTAGTTATGTATAATTATATGTGTCTGCTAGTGGAAGCCGGAGGTGTTAGATCCCCTGGAGTTGGAACTACAGGCAGTTGTGAGTACCATGTGGTGAGAAGTGAATGATCTGGATCCTCTGGCAGAACAGCAAATGCTCTTAACCACCAATCCATCTCTCCAGCTTCTGGACATAAATCTTAATAAGAACTAAGGTTCTTTGAGAACAGTGAAAATGATTGTCATAGAAAACCCAGGTTCTAAGAAAACATTGAAGGAGTAGAGGCTTCCTTAAGATATGCCTTAGAGCCTCACTGCTGGGGAGAAGGATGAACTTGACTGGCATGAATGCAGGAAGATGAACTCCCAGTGCTCAGATCAAGGGAGGCCACTGGAGCCCTTGTCATCAACTAGGAGAAGGGACGGTGTCACGGAAACATGGCCAAAGGGCTCCCTCAGGGCCAGCAGGACCATCTGTTTGAGACTCTTGCTCTGTGGAAAATCCAGATCTGAAATGTCCCTGGCAGTAGGTGTGCCCCAGAAGCTTTACTTGATATGCACAGCCTCTGGATTTTCCCAGGACTGGAAGCAAAACAAAATAGCAGTTCTCAGAGTAGAAACGAAAACATTGTTACTTCCAATCCCAAGATTTAATTTTTCGCTCCAAGTGCTAAATTAGAAATTCATTAAACTATTAAGGTCCGTGATTTTCATGAGTTTCTCTTAATACTTTATTACTATTACTATTACTAAGTTTCTGCAAGTTTAAAGATGTAATTGGCTTTTTTATTAGTGTATCATGAATTGGGTAGCATTTAACTAAGGGATAGGACAGCTTGGCTCCTACAGGAACGAGAAAAAAAAAACAGGCTAGTTTTCTCATAAGGGGACAGAAGAGGGGACTCTATCATCTCACTGCCCGGCCTGTTTGCTTTGTTTGGGGACTCTGCTGCTTGCTTGAAGCATTCATGACACTATGAGCATGTCAACAAAAAAGGAAACGCCACCTTTTGTTGTTGTTGTTGTTTTTCCCCAAGATATGGTTTCTCTGTGTAGCCCTGGCTGTAATAGGACACACTCTGGAGACCAGGCAGGCTGGCCTCAAATTCAGAAATCCCTCTGCTTCTGCCTCCCTAGTGCTGGAATTAAAGGCATGTACCACCACCCAGATTAAAGAACTCCATCTTGTATTGGTGTTGGGGCCTAGTGTAGAACCTCAGTCCAAAACAATGGTCTCCCATAAATTTTATTTAACTGCATAAATGATATGTAAACGAATGTCATTATAATGAAAACAATTTCTGAGTCACAATCTACTTATTTCAAACAATATCGAGTATTACACAGCTCCAATATAAAGAAAACACTTGCAAAGTCTTCATGCATTGTAACATGAACTATATAGTGTGTGCAATTGCCACATATCAACTTAATGAGAAGTGAGTTACTTTCAGCTCTGAACTATATTAAAGAATGTATATGAAGACTTCTTGTAATCACTTTATTCCAGCTTTTGGAGACCCAAATTTCATGGAACGGTATTACAGATGGAAGCAACAGGATCAGCAGCGGCCCAAGCAGTGGAAGCCGACGTAAGACACCTAAGTGCTTTGATTGTGTGACATCGCTGACCTTGAGTCTCAGTGATTCCGCTCTCTATCTCCTGAGCTATTAGCAGAAACCCTGAGAATCGCAGCCTCTGCCTTTTCTAAGCATAAGAACAATGATAAGAGAGTATAATCTCCCTTCAGTGGAACTCAGGTAGGAAAGCTGGCAAACATGGAGATGGGACATGAGCCATAGTGAAGACCAAGCCGGTCCTCAGAGTTAGTTATCACATTACCTTTTCATCTTTCTCATAGCTCTGACTTCATTTTCCCAAACATTTCCCACTCAGGAACTACACACACACACACACACACACACACACACACACACACACACACACACACACACGTGGGTGTATATCTTTATTCTTGTATGATTTAATTTATTTTATTGGAGGAAGATACAGGAATAAAGTGTTTGCCATGCATGTATGAAGACCAGAGTCCAGGTCCCAACACCCGTATAAATGCCAGGTAGGCCGGCTGTCCATCCTGCAATCCCTGTTCTCAGAAGATAGAGACAGGGATACTTTTTCTACTAACCAAATTGGAGAGCTCCGGGTTAAGCAAGGAACCCTACCTTAGTAGAACAATCAAGAAAGGCATCAAATGTCAACCATTAGCCTCCATACTCTTGTGCATAGCTATACATGTAAACACGTAGGTATATATGCACACACACACACACAGATACACATGTGTATTCACACCACATACACACAACAAATAATGGTATATTAACTATACAAAATGATAGATTTTATAATGATTCTTTACCCAAATATAACACATACTCAGACTATATTAAGCAATCACCTTCTCTCCCTGACCATCTCTCTGTTAGGCCCCTTCCTCTTCCCAGTCTCCCTTCTATTTTCAGTGTGTGTGTGTGTGTGTGTGTGTGTGTGTGTGTGTTCTGGATTCTGCATAGGAGAGAAAGCATGTCAACAGTGTGCTTTCTTCCGTGTTCAGCAAACATGCTACCATGAGGCATGGGGAGGGAAGACTCTGTTGCACTCAGGCTCCTCATCTTGCATTTTAGCTGCTGTTATCAGCAGTCAGTATTCTGCATTTTTTCAGAGGCGACTATATGGTCATTAAACACACACTGTGTTCTGAATTTGAGCAAAGTCAAATAGGCTTTCCTATCCTTTTCTTCTTCTCCAAACTTTAGCAACAACTTTTCTTTGGGCCAAAGTAAAGCAAAGTTTTTATATTACTCTTCTGCTCTCGGCATAAATTATAGACAGGACAGAAATATATTAAGCTGAATTTGAAGGCCTGTTTCAAGTTTCTTTTGCAGTTGAAAAATTTCTTCAGAATCTAAGATGGTCATTGTTTTGACGTGACTCCCTTTCCTGTTTCCTGTAACAGAGCTCCTTTGTCTTATTTGTTTGCTCATTGGTTCATTATGTTGGCCAGAGTCTCCCAGAAGCCCAAGATTTAGAAAAATGAGGACCATGTCAATATCAACTTAGTCACTCACTTCTACATGTGGCTAAAATAACTGAGCTGTTTGAGTGATAGAACGCTTCAAAATACATTATTAGGTCAAGGTATGTGCAGTGACCCTGTCAGGAGAAAGCGCTCACACCTCATGCCATCTGGTGGCTGATGAGAATATGTACAGATCAAATGCTATTTGCTTCTTACAAATTGTGAAATTGAGTAGTCAGAAAAATAATACTTTGGATAAAGTTTTTAAAAGATGCTTCATTTATGGGCACTTTATAGTGGCAAAAAATATTTGTATATGCAACTGAATGCACGCCTAGCAGAAACCCAAGGAGTAGTGAAACTCAGCTTCTTTCCAAAATGCATGATATGTGACAAAGTGCTCAACTGAAGTAAAAAATGCTTTCAAGTGAGTAATTGTATAGGTGTGCCAAAATACTTTAATGTTCTTTAAAGGTTATTATTTTATGCATGAGTGTGCATGCGTGGGTGTGGTGTGCACGTGTACAATGTATAAGTCACATCCCCTGGAGATGGAGTTACAGGTAGTTGTAAATTGCCTGATGTGGGTTATGGGAACCGAACTCTGGTCTTCTGAGAGAGAGAAAAGCTTTTTTAACTTCTGAGCCATCTCTCCAGCCTCCTTTGTGGTGTTTTTGTTGGGGCTGCATGTTAGCTACTTATTGTTGTCAACAGATAAATACCCAAGGAAAGGATGTAAGAAGGAAGGATGGGCTTTGGCTGGCCGTGTGAGGGTATGGGCTATCATGGTGGGGAAGGCATGAGGCGGGAGGCAAGGAGGCCATCACGCTGTGCCCACAGTTAAGGAGCACAGAGTGCTGGCACCCAGTTTATTGTCTCCTTTTTCTTATTTTACTCAGTCCAGGGTCCTAGCCCATGGGGAAGTGCTACACAGTCAAGATGGCTCCTTCTTCCCCAGTCAAATCTCTCTGGAAATCAGACATGCCCATAAGTATGTCTCCTTCATGATTCTAAATCAAGTTAACAATTTAAAGTAGCCATCATGGCAGGGTGAGGGGCTTTCAGGACTCCTGGAGACACACCCCAGGGTAGGCATTGCACCATTAGCAAGCCCTCAACCACTGAGCTAAGTACCCAGCCCCTGGTTTCTTGAGACAAGGCTGGCTTTGAACTAACTTTGTAACCTTTCAAACTCTCTGTCCTCCTGCCTCAGCCTTTTGGGTGTGGAGATTACAAATGTGTACCATCATGCCTACCATCTCTCTGTTTCCAAAAAATGTTTGAAAATGTCTTCCTTATCCTTATATTTCCTGTTTAAAGAGGAAAATAAAAAAAAACAAAAACAGAGTTGGAAATGTGGCTCAGTGGTAGAGTTCCTAGCTTACCACATATAAGAATATTAACGCCATCCTCATTAATTATCCATTCATTAGTTCTTTAGAAATAAAACACAAATTGAGACTTCTATCCGCATCGTTTATTACTCTTCCTGTTATTCCCCTGCTCACTGTCCTCCTCCAGCAATACTTGATTCCTAAGCAATACTCAACTATTTTCTCACTAGTTCATGGAGACTTGAGATTTCTTCTGCTGTCAACCTGGAGTATCTCTCCCAGCAGAGGCTTTTACTGGGATTCTGAGTTAAGTCTTGGCCTGAGCCAAAAGGTAGCCTTTGCTGTATGTGCTTAAGTGTGGAGCCCTGGAACTGTCTGGTTACCACCTCTGGGACCTTGAACATCATAGCTGACTCCCTTTGCTTTAGTTGTATTCACTCAATAACACCTGCCTTCCAAAGAGCTCTTGAGGACTCACTAATTCAACATATGTAAATACTTCTAATGCTGCCTAGCACACAGATACGCCCATAAGGCTTGCCATTGCTAGTTCTGCTTCTGCTCTGGCCCTTGTTCCCATCACAGAAGGGAAACTTTTCTTTGGAAATAGTAGGGGGAAGAGGCAGGCAGATCTTGGCAGGGCTCTTCCCTCTCAGAAAGTGTCACCCTGGTCATAACACAACCTTCCTTACAAAAGCTGTTTTGCATTGAGTTTCCTGAATGATCCCACATATTTAAAGTTTAGCATGTGAACATTCAAGAAACATCCTGAGGAGTGGGAAATATGGGAAGTTTATGCCCCCCAGCATACCAAAGAATGAAAATAATCTCTGGCAGAAATATGTAAAAAATGTAAATTTATCTCAAGTTAGAAAATAACACGTAGCTGACCGCATGTATCTAGTGCCATCATGCCTGCAGTTTGCCTTCTCTCCTCCACCTCTCGTCTGCCTGGCTCAGCATTCCACGAGGGTGACATGGATCCAGCACATACTTCTCCATGTGAAACTGCCCTTTGTGTGCTCCAAGGTCCCAAGCACTCCATCCCCTCTTCTGTAGTATGAAGCTCCTGTCTCTGTCAGCACCCCTGTGTTTCAGATTCGTCTGTTCATGGGCAAGTACCTAGGACAGGGGAATTGGAATAGCTTTGCATTCTCAATGCTTAGTGGAGTGCATAGCATATAGTAGGTACTCAGTCAACTTTGTTGAAAAAAAATGCATGTGTATCTTGCCTCACCATTTACTATTAGAATTGAAGGAAATTAATTTTAGGGAAAAATGAAAGTTAAGGCCCATGATGTAGAGATCTTGGTTCTGTTTGGGGAGTTCTAGGGTATAGTCCATAAACCAGGATTGAAAACTGGAAATATGACTGTCATAAATATTTTATGCAAATTCTAAACTCTTACACGTATTTTGGTTGCTATTAATAGAAACTCATTATCATAATCAGCTCATAAATATTCACCAATCAATCTTGTGATTTGGTGTTCATTTCTAAGGCTTTCTTTTTACACCACTTTGACTGTCATTTGAATATTCATGAATGTCTCATTCCTAAGACACAGGAAAGAAAATGGCTCTAACATCTGATCATTTTACTTACTTTCTCAAGAGAAATAGTGAACATATAAAATCAGAAAATAATGAAGGTCATTCTTTAGAGTGTTTTTGGTCATGTACACTCAAAACTGCCATACACTACAGCAAATAATAGAAACAATCTCTATCCAGGGTCTAAGCTCCAAGAGCTAGCACGTTATCTAAGTTATTAGTTCTGGTGGAGTCTTATTTTCAGTTTATAAAGAATTTGTAAAAGAATGTTGCTCCTGGTGGAGAAACCCACAGAAACAGCTGACCTGAACAAGGGGTTGCTTATGGACCCCAGATTGATAGCTGGGAAACCAGCATAGGACTGTTCCAGACCCCCTGAACAAGGATGTTGGTTTGGAGGTCTGGTTAATTTATGGGGCCTCTGGTAGTGGAACAGTATTTATCCCTAGTCCATGAATGGACTTTGGGAGCCCACTCCACATAGAAGGACACTCTCAGCCTACACACACAGGGGAGGGTCTAAGCCCTGCTCCAAATGATGTGACAGACTTTGAAGATCCCCCATGGAAGGCCTCACCCTCCCTGGGGAGCAGAAAGGGGATGGGATAGGGGGGTCAGTGGGGAGCAGGGTAGGAGGGGAGGGAGAGGGAGCTGGGATTG